GAAATATTTTTTTCTCCCTTGTTTCCCCCCACTTCAAGTTGAAATCAACATTTTTTCAAAAAAAACAATGATCAATAATTGTTTGATTTGATATCCCATAATAATAATAACATTCTTATCTTGAACGTTTTGTTGTTCACAACAACAAATATCGTGCAAAAAAAATCAAAGAAAAAACACTGTCTATTAATATTTTGATGATAATGATAACATCATTTCTTTTTTGTTGATAAAAATTGTTTTAGTTTCCCACCAAATTGATGATTGACGTCAGCAAATAAATATCAATCTTTTTTTGGGTCTCAAATCAATCAAATGATTAGAATCAAAATTTTTTTTTTTGAATGTTTCTCTGTTTTATTTTTAGTTGTACAAATACACACAAAAAAACTTTCTCTATAGATTATCTAATGATGATGATGATGAATGGAAATGTCTTAGTCGTTCGTTATTCGTTGTTTTAGTCGCTCTTGTTGTAATGTGATGTGATGATCATCATGGTTTAAGAATTCTTTCTTCCCCTAGTAATAATGACGATGATGATGTTTAAATTGAAAAAGATTTCCTGTTGGTCAATTTTTTTATTGATAATATTTTTCTTTGGAATTATTTCAGCAGCAAAATTAAAATTTGATAAAAAATCATCATTAGATGATGATGAACTCAATAAACCATCGATCGATGATGATGACAATAATACAATCAATCAGAAGTTTTATTCATCAAATAGTTATCCACCGGATTTTATGCCCGATCATGTAAGATTTCATTTTCATTTTTTCTTCCTTGACTAAATTTTTTCTGAAAAGATTCGTAAAAATGGTGGCATTTTTGTACATTTTTTCCTATTAATCTACATTTGTCTATCATTGGGTATTGTTTGTGATTATTATTTTCTTTCATCACTTGGTGCTATTAGTGATGGTAAGTTATTTGATTTATCAAAATGTTTCTGAATCTCATTTGTGGATGTTTTCTTCAATAAAAAACAACAGAATTAAATTTACCGGCCGATGTTGCCGGTGCAACATTCATGGCAATTGGAACATCAGCACCGGAACTGTTTACATCAATAATCGGTGTATTCATATCGAAAGATGATATCGGCACCGGTACAATACTTGGTTCAGCTGTCTTCAATATTATATTTATACCGGCTGTTTGTTCATTTGCATCATATTTTTTCTCAACAAATCAACAAGCAAATGTTTCCAAATTTGCCATTATACGTGATTCTATTTTCTACCTAATTACAGTGACAACATTGTTATTAGTTTTAAAAGATAATTTTGTCGATTGGTAAGTCTAGTTAATTAATTTACATTACAATGTTTTTTACCTTGTTTTTTTTCATTCATTTAGGATCGAATCATTAGCGATGATATGCCTATTCTGCATATATTTAATAATAATGTATTATAATACAAAACTTGGTGATCTTGCTGGCGGTAAAATTTCACCAACAATAACGCCGGTAACGGAAAAAACACCATTATTAACCGTTCCAAACGAAATGGATGGTAATGGTATGGAATCATTATCAATACCATCAAGATCACGTACAAATTCATTATCAAATCGACGATTATCATCAATGGCTGAAGATGGTATTATTGAAGAAGAAAATTGGGCAGAAAGTAATCTATTGATGAAAATTTTACTGTATCCAGTGCAATTTATATTCCGTTGGACAATACCAAAACCAATTGGTTATTGGTTTATAACAACATTTATAATATCAATATTTTGGATCATATTATTAACCTATTTATCTGTATGGATGGTTACAATTATTGGTGATACATTAAAAATACCCGAAACTGTTGGCGGATTAACTTTGTTGGCTGCTGGAACATCAATACCAGAATTGATTAGTAGTGTTTTGGTTGTTAAACGTGCCGGTTTAGTTGATATGGCATTATGTAATTCAATTGGTTCGAATATATTCGATATATTAATCTGTTTAGGCCTGCCATGGTTTATTAAATCAATTATCAATATGATTGATTTCAGTACATTGGATACATCGATTACATCGATCGTTATCCATTCTGAAGGTTTACCTTTAACAACATTTTCATTATTATTAGCAATTATAGCATTGATTACATCATTATCAATGTTTGAATGGAAATTAAGTTTAGGTGTTGGTATTACTTGTACCTGTATTTATATTGTTTTCATTACTATTGCAAGTTTTGTTGAAATTGCATTTGCATAATTTTTTATTATTTATTACAAACACACCCGGTACAATTTATTGAAAAAAAAATGAAAAATGATTTATAAGCAAATCTACTCATCATTAAATGATAATATTTTTTTTATTTTTAAAAATTTTTCTTTAAACAAAATTCAAAAATCCATTTCAATTATGAAGCATCAATCCATGCGTCATCATTCTACTTTCCTTTTCGTCCTACGTGTGTGTGTTTGGAATTGAATTGAAAAAAAACGGATTATTAAAATCAATTTTCAATCAAAGAATTACAACCAAATAACAAAACTTACAAGTGCTGCAAAAGGTGTTAATCCATACCTAGCTCGATTTTCTTTTGGTTTTTTCAATTCATTTTGAATTATTTTGGCCAATTCTTTCAAATTATCCACAAAAGTTTTCATTCGTTTATCCAAATCACCATCTAAATTTAGTTGTTGTCGTTCGATAGGATCGGCCATCATTGCCGTCTGTTTTTGATTGAGAAAATCAGATTCAAATTAAAGACAAAAAATAATAATTCTTACAAAGAATTTTTGTGCTGTTTCAACAACACCAAGTTTAAAAATATCAATATTTTGCTGCATATAACTTGGTTCATATGCTGTTTCAATTTCTTCAAGTTTATCTAAATCGGCAACTAAATCTTGTAGTTTAGTCTGAACGTTTATATTCAATTTTGCCATTGATTTCACAATACGATCCGAAATAGTTGTTGTTTCCATTGTGTTGCTGTTGGATGAGATTGGCGTTTCAGATTGCGCACCTGTTAATTCTAATGTTTGAAACAAGCAAATCAAAAATAATAATGATAATAAAATTGATCGAAACATTGTTTTTCGGGGATTTTAAAGAGATTTTTCGAAACAAAAATCGTTAAACAAAAAATTAAAATTAAAATTTCTGGTTGGTTTCTGTTGAATTCAATTGAGTCTATGTCATTTGTCATTAAATACACAGGTTGCTAAGCTTTTAAATATCAAAGAAAAATGAAACAATTCGTCTGTTGTTATGACAAATTCAATTCAGAAGATTAGATTTTTGTTTGTGTTTTTTTTTGCTGAATAAGTAATTTTTGCTTGTTTATATTACGCATCGTCGAGAACCACATTTGAAAATGTATCGGGTTTGTGTTTTTTTTTCAAACTTGAATTTAGTTCCAATTAGTCATGAAATTTCAGTAATTTTTCTTTTTGCTTTGATGATAACCTTTTTGTGGGTGACTCACACACATATTTTATCAGATCATCACATGATTAACATTAGTTGTTTTTTAAAAATATTCAAATAAGCCGAAAAAACAAAAACAAAATATTTTTTAAAAAATTACGCTTTTTATAACAGCAGCCATCATCAGTTGCAGTCGATTGTTTATTATTACCATTATTCGTCGACATACAGCATCCTTTGGAATGATGATTTTTACATGAATAACATCGACAGCATTTATGTTGGTTCATCATTTTTTTAAAAATCCGAAAACAAAAGCAAAATTAATCAATAATCCAGGTCAATGTAAATCACTAAATCAAATAATTTCAATGTAGCAACAAAACAGATTTCAATTGAAATTTTAATTGAAATTATGTCAATGTCGATATAGGTTGGAATTTGACAAAACTGATTGATTTTCCCCTTGTTTAACTACATCATTTCTAAAAAATGTTCGAGAATTTTTGTTTTTGCTGGAAAACTTCCATTTCATGAAAAAACCATAACAACCAACCAAAAGAACTAATCCATTTTGTTATAACAATATTTAGAAATTTTTTTATTTTTTAAAATTAAATTAAATTAAATTATTTAAAATTATTTAAATTATTATTATTATTAATAAAATGATTATCTGATCTGCCATTAGATAATTCTGATAATTGTTGGCTATATTTTTTCATAATATTTTGTCTTTTTAATTTCATTGATGCTGTTAACAGGTCATTATCGGGTGACCAAATTTCCGATACTAAACGTATACGTTTTGGAATTTCTTTTGTTGCTAATGAACTTTGTTTACAAACATCAATCATTGATTGAAAATAAATTGCTTCAATTTGTTTATCCAAACATTTTTCTTCAATTGTCATTTGATATTTATTTAATTGTCGTGTCAGTTCATCGAATGCTTTACGATTTGGACTAATTAATGCAATCAAATCATTTGCACAAATATCACCATAAACAAATGCATTATCAATTAATGTAGACATTTTTAATGCTGCTTCAACCTAATTTTGTTTAATTAGAAAAAAAATGAAAAAAGTTTTTTAAAATTTGAAAATAAACCCTCACCTTTCCCAATGAAATATATTCACCATTTTGTAATTTAATCAAATCTTTACGACGATCAATAATTTTGATAAAACCATTTGGTAACATTTCAACAATATCACCAGTACGATACCATTGAATACCATTATCATCAATGAAATATACTTCATTTGTAAATTGTTGATTTTTATAATAACCTTTTGTTACGATATCACCACCAATTAATAATTCACCACGTGGATTAGGTTGATCTTGTACAGAATAACCACCATCATCCCAATCTTGTAATCGATAGAGAACATGGGCTAAAACTGATCCACAATTTCCATAGTCAAGTGTTTCAAAATCCATACATATTACTGATGATGTAGTTTCAGTACAGCCATAACCTTGAATTAAAGTAACATCTAATGCTGATTTGATTGTTGCCTGTGTACGTTCATTTAATTGTGCACCACCACAAATCATAAATATTAATTCATCACCAAATTGTTCACGAATTTTTGGACATAATAAACGTGTTACAATATTACATTTATAACCAAGACGTGTCCATTTGGATTTATAATCGGTTAAAAATCGAAATACTTGTTGCGATACAGGTGTTCGGGCCTTTAATTTTTCATTAATTTCTTTTAGAATTCTTTCCAAAACTAACGGTACTGCTGTCATGATTGTTGGTTTTAATAATTTTAAATCAGATATTTCACCCGGTGCAAGACCTGGTGCTGAATCAGTTAATGTAAATGGTGATGCATAACCTAATCGTACACCACCCAAAAAGAATAATAATTCTAATGTTAATTCCATTACATGTGCTGTTGGTAAATATGCAACATAAATATGTTTATACGTTTCATTAACTAATGATCGTACACGACAATACATAGCTTTTATTGATGTAAATATTTGTTTTTCAGTAATAATGGCTGCTTTTGGATCGCCATTTGTACCGGATGTAAACATTATAATCATTCGGCGATCCATTGATCCTTTATGTAATGGTAAATCTTGATTTTGATCAATACATTGTTGTCCTAATTGTACAATGTTATTCAATGAATATATTTCAATTTCAGTGGAAAATTTAAAATCTGGTTTATGAAATCCTTCCATAAATATTATTCGTTTAACATTATGTTGAGTAGAATTGGCTAAAACTTTTTGTAAAATCTGGATACATTCAAATGAAACAATAATTGTATTACATTCAGTTGATTCAATTGAATATTTTAAGCCATTAATTCCTAGATTAGAAAATGCTGTAACTAAAACAGCACCAGCTTGTGGTATAGCTAAAAATGATAACATCCATTCGATACGTGTTTCAGCAAATATCATTATACGATCACCTTCTTCAATTCCACTAGCCATTAAACCTTTAGCAATAAGTGCTGAAATTTTTTGTACTTGTCCATATGTTAGCCATTTATAATCACTGAGGTGATATCGTTTTAATTTACGTCCATCCATACGACATTCTTGACCATCATCACTTAAAATTGATTCTTCCGACAGAATTTGACGATAACCTTTATTGATTTAATAACCGTGATTAGATAATCAAACAAAATTATTTCAAAAAAATAATACTAACCAAGACAATTACGATTATGATCATATTGATTTGTTAATGATTGGAAAATTGATGTTATGGAATTATAAGTTAAAAAATTATGATCAAGAATTGCTTGATCTAAACGTTCATAAATTGGTGATAATTTTGGATCTTGACTTTTTTCAAATATTTTTATTCGTTTTTGATCATTTAAACGTTTAGCTTTCCATGGTTGTTGTATTATGAAATATAATGGCCATGTTATTATTGTATATAATTGAATAATTGATATGAAAATTGTCATGAAAATAAATTTCAATGTTACAACAATAGCATGTTTGAATGCATTTGGTAACTTTTTGTTTGTTTGTTTGTTTGGAAAGAACAAGAAGAGACAATTTTTCAGTTCAAATTCACATAAATAATTTATTGACTTACTTTATTCGAATGAAGATGATTATTATTATTTTGATGAACCTTTTGAATATTGATTGATGTTGCTTTTGTTGATGATTGATGTGGATCAATTCTTTCATCATTCTTATCATTATTATTGTTGTTGCTGTTGTTGAAATTCAAATATGGTGGTGGATAAATATTTTTTGATTTTAAATTATCTAATTTTTCATCGATATCATTTTCCATGATGAAACAAAACAAACAAAAGACAAAATAACAAAATAAAATAAATAAACACAATGGATATAATAAAGGAATGGATAGTGATATAATAATAGTGATCGATTGAAGATCGATCGATCGATCATTGAAGTTTTTAAATGGAAAAACGAAATTTTTATTTCGATTTTTTTTTGTTGTTGTGATGATGGTGGTGGACAACAGCAGAACAACAAAAAAAAACAAGAAAAAAAGATTGCGTCAACAGAAACAACAACAAAAATTGAATAAAAATTTTAAAAAAATAACGATAACGAGATATGGCATTTCATTTACCCTGTCATTCTTTAAAATGGCAAATAGTTTATTCATTCATTAATCATGAATTTGTGAATATTTTCTGTGTGTGTTTGTGAATGAATTCAACGACAATAATACAGCTACACTACTTTAAGATGATTATGATGATAATAATGATGGTGATGAATTTTATTCGTTTCGATGATGATGATGATAATTATTGTTGCCCATTTTGTTGTATAAATTTTGCCTATAGGGTTTTTTGTTTGCTTGTTTCGCTAATAATTTCTCTTTTGGATAAGAAAAACGAAAGTTTTTTTAATAGATTTTTTTTGGTTTTTAAATAAACGTACGAAGAATGAGAAGAAATGATATTCTTGTAATTCAATCATTATCATCATCAAGTGGAATTGATTGGAATTTTTGTTTCTCTCATTCATTTTCATTCATACTTTTTTTAATTATCAGATTTTCATCCAAAATTATCTTAATTAAACAATTTTTTTTTCTTAATTCCATACTTTCTTCATATGAATATTATGAAGAAGAGGAAAAAAGATTTAAAAAATCTTTAACTAACTTTTTTGTTTGTTTGTTTAATTATAAATCCAATAAATGTATTTTTTTCTTCTATGTTTCTAATTTTATTCAGAAGAGGGAATTATTTTAGTTTTTTTAAAAAAAAAATATCAAGGTCATTTTTTCTTCCACCATACATTCTGTAACAATTTTTTTGAAATGTTTTTTTTTCGTTTAAAGTAAATATTGATTGATTGAGAGATAAACAATCAATATTTTTTCTTGAATTTGAAATATTAATCTTTTTCTTAAAATCATCGATTGATTGGATTAAATGATTGATAATTGTCTTGTTTGTTTGGAAATTTAAGCAGGCATTTTATTTAATTTGTTGTTTTTATTTTTGAACGGATGAAATTTATATAAAATTAAAAAAGGACAACCATACCGGCAAAAGAGATGCGGATTCAAAAAAGAAACCGGAATTTTGTTTTTCTCTTCTATTTTGAATTACCCGAACAAATCCGGTTATTAAAAGAAGAAATTTGAGAAACAAAAAAATACAAAGATGATTTCATATAATAGGTCATCTCTCTTCTCTTATTTTCCCATTCAAATCTTATCATAACTCTTTCTGTTGTTGGTTTACGTAAAAAACTTACGTAAATGCAATGCTTACTTGATGACCTAAATATTTTTTTGTTGTTGTTGAGAAACGGGAAAAAATTTTTATTTCAAATTTTTTATTTTGGTATTTTATTTGACGTATGCAGATCAAAAAATACATATTTTCCCTTATTTCCAATGATATTATCAACGTCAAAAAACAAAACAAAGCAAGCAACTTTATTGTGTTTTTTCCAGATTTTCTGTACATTTGGTTGTCAGTAATTTTTGGTGAATGAAAAAATCAATGTGAATTTTCTGTGTTTGTTTGTTTGTGTTCTCAATCCGATCAAAAAACTTGATAAAATTTTGCTAAAGCAAACAAATAATTGTCCATTCCAGTTCAAATTCGTTATCAATCGATTGATTAGGATTTTTTGTTTTTGTATCAGGAAAATGCAATGAAATTCGTCACATAATTTTTTTTGGATAAAATTTTGTCAACTTTTTTCGTCATCAACAACAACGGCAACAGCAACAAAAAACAAAATACAAAATCGTTCAATGACTTGAAAAGGAAATGGTTGTTGAATTTTGAATTCAATTGATTGAACAAGATTATAAATATTTAATGTTTTTTTCATGTTTTGATGATTTGATTGAATTTTATCCGATTCGAATTTTTTTCCATAAACCAATCGATCTAATTTGAACAACAACAAAAACAACCATACGACGACGACGACAACGATAAAATGCTTACAGATTTTACAATGAAAACCATAATATTGGAATTATTACTTGTAATATTCAATCTATTACAACAATTTATTATACAATTAAAATTGGCCAATCTTGAATCCTGTATATTGATGTTTCTTTAACAACCAAAAAAAATTGTAAATTTGTTTATTGTGAATAAAATTTTTCTGATTGATTTTTTGCGAAATCATGTGGTTTTTTTCTTTTTCATTGTTTTAAGATTTTGTCAACAGTCAGCCATTAAAATGTCATGTAAAAAAACCCTTAACACGTTTTCAACCAAGATGATGATGATGATGTAATATTACTATATTGACGTCATCGAATGATGAAATTGAGGAACAAAAATTGAATTTTTATTGTTTTTTTTTCATTGGAAATACCTCCGTGATCGTATCGATAGCAATCCATCGATTGATCATTGGATTAACCCTCGGCTATCCATGTGGGGTCAAATTTGACCCCAACGACATTTAAAACTTCGCCATTCAAAAATCTATCGACATGAATCAGTTTTCTCTTGAATGATCAAAGATCTATGTTTATTAAACATGATAGGCAATTTTCACCGTTTTCCGACTAAAAATAGTGGAGAAATCATCGATTTTCGGGATGAAGTCTAAATGTGCATAACGTAAGTGCTGTAGGATCCCTACCTACAACACTTACGTTATGCACGGACT